TTAATGGCTCAATGAGAATTGAGCACTACACCAATTCCTATCAACAGAGAACTTAGTCATTGTACATGCTCTCGCTTTGTGTGCCGAGCGTAAAATAGTGTTAGCGCACATGTATAAATATTCTGCAATGAATAATATCCACTAACACTATTTCTTGTGTTATTCAACCAATTACTTAAAAACACGAATAATTGCAGTTCCCTGATCTGGAACCGTCTGTGAAGCTCTCAGGTCATTTATGAGTATGGAACTGGGCAAATGCCCATGCGGTAGAGTTTTTACTTTAGTAAGCATCGTAGTAGATATGATGTCCAAACATTGATGTATGTACCTTAATATACGAAATAAAACTGATTGCTTGCTACATCGGTTTTTTTTTTGTTGAAAGCAGGATTCGAAGTGAGAGATAGCTTTTATTGGAGAGGTGTGGAATGCACAGGTGCTTCTTCTCCTCTGCTGCATGGTAAGGTGTTTCTAGCAATTTAAGATGTTTTTTTGCGCAGTGTCCATAAATTACGAGTGTAATTATATGAACTAAAGAATACTTAGATGATAAAAACTTTATAATCTTTAGTCTAGCAAGTAAGCTTAATCTTACATAATGACAGCGCTGCATAAAAGTAAGTTTATTGTAAAAAATTATTCCCAATATTTTCAATGTGTCAGTATAGGAAAGGGATATTAGACAAGGAGAGGATTGGATGTATGTATACATTTGTGTTTTCTGCATATGTTAAAAAACTACTTTTTTCAGCTGAAATCTTAGCTCCTGAAGATTTGGGCGAATTGATTAGATCGCTTAGTAGATATGTTAGAAAAAAATATTTTTACTTGCGTCAAGTCCTTAGCCTTAGAAGAAATTAAAACACCATCACGTAAGCAAGATGATCTATGTGCGTGTTAGCCGATATAATGGAGCTAACTTTCCCACAGGCTATATTGATTAAAATAACCGAAAGTGGCGATCCTTGTGGGACACCATTAAAGAGAGGAACAGTTTTTGAATAAAAGTTATTAACCCGAACAGCGAACTTCCGGTTGTAAAGGAAAGACTTGATAACATCCTCTCACCAATTTTCCAGGGCTTTAGTTATAGCAGAATAACATGGGAACCTATTCTGTCATAAGCCTTCACAAAATCTAAACTTAGAACTGATACAAGATTTCTTGACGCAAGAGCCGTAGAGGAAAAGTGATCAAAAATTAACAGAGGGTCCATAACACTTAAGCCTTTTTGGAGTGCGAATTGGTGCGGATTCGTAAAGTAATTTTGTTCGGCAAACCACATAAGCCTTTTTGAAAAAATTTTTTTTAAATAATTTAGATATGCAGTAGAGGAGGAGAAATGGGTGTGTAGTTAGAAATTAAGGAATTGTTTCTATTTAGTTTGGCAATAGGAATAATAATAGCAGTTTCCCACGCTTGATGACATAACCCTTGAGGTAGAATGTAGTTATGGAGTTGAATGACTATATGTTTGACGGGATACTGATGATTTTTTAGGACAGGGTACGGGATTTTGTCTGCTTTTGCCTGTCATCGAAGAGATGATTGCGTAAAACTCTTCAATAGATATGAATAAGTGAGAATTGTGGGAATCTTCGGACCAAGTGGAGGCAAATTAATATATACTCATCGCTTATATATTTTAGTAGTGTCATAATCCAAAAAAACTTTGAGTTGAGTATGCAGAAATTTTTTCTCGAGTTTTGATTTTTTGAGTTATGATATTATTGAAGTAAATGAGCGGACATGTACTATATGTAAGCTACCAGCCAAACCCGATCTTAGGACAAACTATTTTTGTAACTCTCATCAATCCAACTCAAGCTACGCAGTCCACAAGATTGTTGTATANATCTAAAGCTTGCCGAAACTGTACCTACCTTCCCTAAATCGAGCTCTGTTGAAGGCGAAATCGATCAACCCAACTAGCTTTAGAGTAGCCGTAGAATAAGCAGTCTGCTTTGGTTAGGCCATCATGCTGGACTCCTTTGGCCCCAATTATGAGTTGCATTCGATTTTCGACTGTGGTCGAAAGTGCTGAGCGAACGAATTTTCATTTGGTATTACATTTTTCACAATTTTCTAACACTTCGCTACACCATCGAAAGCAAAATTCTGTTCGACAGAAAATTCGATACTCAACGAAAATTTCGACACGCTTGCATAGCTCATAATACGAATTTCACTTTCGATCGCTGGCTATCGAAGATCGAAAATCGAATGCAGCTCATAATAAGGGCCAGTATTGTCATGGCTGAAAGATAAATAAGAGCTCACGTTACCATCAAAAACTCATTTTCATCAAAATTGCAGATAGAGGGTATTGAATATAAGCCCTCGGTATGTATATCCCCCTTTTACAAACTCATTGATATATACTTTGCCACGCTCCCTTTTATAAACTCATTCATATACACCTTACTATAAGCACCTACCATAGATATGTCTGCATACCAAATTTAAATTTCATGTGACTTATGGTTTTGAAATTATAGCTGATAAAATTTTCCACGCGTATGGGATGTGCCACGCCCCCTTTTACAAACTCCTTTATATATACCTGCCTATAAGCATCTACCATTGACATGTCTGCATACCAAGTTTCAAGTTCATGTTACTTATGGTCTGGAAGTTATGGCTGATTAAAAATTTCACGCCTATGGGAGGTGCCACGCCCCCTTGTCGGATCCCAATTTTTTCACCCTATTATAGGCCCAGGTGTCATGGCAATACTCTGTCAAAATGTTGTTCGATTCTGTCCGCCCGTTTAAACTGCAACCTGGCACATACATACATACATACATACTTTCACAAATATATAGTAGATGCAAAAATACTATATTTCTTATATTATAAAAATAAATATGTTTCAGTAATTTGTAAAAAAGGAATGTTTTAACTTTGATGACATTTATACTGAAATATCAATATTAAAAGAAATGTACTTTAAAACAAAGGGTCCACAGATCAAATATTGCACCATTTTTAAAAATACTTAGAAAGATTTACCAAATTTACTTAAAATTATTTCGTTTATGCACTCTATTCCTGCAACTTCGGCATTCACAGACAGAGTTTTTTTTCTATTAAGATTGTGAAATGATGAGATGAGAGAAAAAAGTGACTATCTCACTAATAAAAAATGAACTTTTGATTTATATTAATTTAAATATTGACTGCGATAAAGCATATGATACTTTCAAAGAAATTTATTTTTTTATAGAGGAAATGCATAACACAGAAAAAAAGACGTAAAAAGCATTTTACCTTCTTTAAAAAAAATACTATATATATTTTTTTTCATGGAGCACAAATAGAGTTTTAGAAGGACATATTTGCATGTTTTACTGACTTTATTGGAATCTATTTTTTTGGATTTATAGTTTTGCAACAAGTAATTTCTAGATTTTTGTGAGTTCTTTTGAATTACGTTATGACAATAAAAAAATTAACCACTCTATTTACCATGCAAAAGTCATAGAAGAAAGTTTTTACCTATCTTGATTGTGACGGCTGTTTCAAAGACTTTTGTACTGATTTATAATTATGCAACGGAGTGTATGTTTACACATCAAATTTCGCTAGTACTTGATACTCACACCCTTTTTTGAGAAGTTTCACTTCTATCACGCGTACCATGATAAAAAACATTACAAGGTAAATTCATTCTCTCAATTCGTCGGCCGTGATTTTTTTTCTGACGTTTGCCAGCATTTTAAAATCATATAAAATTGAGAATAAAAAAAACGAAGTTGTTCACAATTGTTGTTTGAGACTGAAAATGGGAATGTGTGTGTTAGTTTGAGTTTTGAATTTTTAAATTATATTGCTGGCAAACGTCATACTGCCTCTCAATGGTTTTACCTTGTTATGTTTTTATCGTGACGTGTACAATGCCACACTCGCCTCTTTTTATTCCTCGCCCTTTTAAAGGATTTTTTTTTGTTTTTCTTAAGAGCTGAATGCTATTCTTAAAGAGAAAATTTGTTGAATGAGGTATGTCATGTCACCGCGGCCACCTGTGTTCGCGACCTCCAAGGATTTGGATGAAAGTTGAAGAGATTGAAGGTTTAGGTGACATGAACATGCGTGCAGCATTTACACGGTACTTACATTTTAAGAAAACGTCATACATACCTTTCTTTAAAGTGCTATATCTTGAAAACCTTTTAACGAAACCTAATAAAAAAAATGGCTTTAATTATAAAAAAAAACAAAAAAAAAATTAAGTAATAATTTTTCTTTTAATTTTTTTTTTTGGATTATAGCATTTAAATTTTTATTTTTTATTTTTACATAAAAACATTGTCTATAATGTCAACTTTAAGCAGCCAAATGGGCGTAATGGGCTACGAAGGCGTATGGACTCTAGATCGTCTAAAGCTCGAGCAATATGAAAAATAGACATTGAAATTTTATGAAAAACAATATGAATAAATCATATTTACTTAACTGAAGGTCTAAAATTACGGAAAACCCCCCAAGGAAATGGCAGAATTGAACTTTGTTGCAATTTCACATGGGAAATGTGCCTGCGATGGGATTGGAGGAAATTTTAAGAGACTAGCAGCTAGAGCAAGTCTTCAACTCCTGACGTTACAACAAATTCGTACACCCGAAGCCCTCTACCAATGGGGTAAGAATAATGTAGAGAAAAAGAAAGTATTGAAAAATGTTTACCGATTTTTTTTTTTTGTTTTTTATACGTTGCACATTAATGTAGAAAAATTATAATTAAAGCCCATAACAAGAAGGAAGAAATACATTTTTCGCATTAAGTTTTGTTCAAAGGTTTCCAAGATACAGCACTTTAAAGAAAGGTATGTATAACGTTTTCTTAAAATTTAAGTCCGGTGCAAATAGGCAACCCTAGATATACATACATATCGGCAAAATATGCTGCATGAAGATTCATGTCACCTCGACCTTCAATCTCTTTAACTTTCATCCAAATCTTTACAGGTCGCGCACAGAGGTGGCCGCGGTGACATGAAATGCCTCGTATGTTATTTGCAAACTTACTATATATAACTATAAATAATTTTTCTTTACAGGTACCAAGGTGATGAAGGTATGGATACGGATATTCCCACTCTTTTGGAAGCTAAACTTTTTAATACAACCCTTGGAAAATTTATCTGGGTTTGTCTACAACCGTTTTTTTACATCTTTCGGCCATTAATAACAAATCCAAAGCCACCAACTACACTCGAAATTGTCAATACTGTTATTCAAATAATATTTAACTTACTTGTTGTTTATTTCTTCGGTTGGAAAGCACTGGCTTATTTAGTTATTGGATCAGTACTAGCTATGGGACTACATCCGGTAGCCGGACATTTCATTTCAGAGCATTATATGTTTGCCAAGGGTTTTGAAACTTATTCGTATTATGGGCCTCTTAATTGGATTACATTTAATGTGGGGTATCATAACGAGCATCACGACTTCCCTGCTGTTCCAGGCTCGAGGTTACCAGAAGTAAAACGTATCGCTCCAGAATTTTACGAGACAATGCCACAACATACAAGTTGGTCTCGAGTACTTTATGATTTTGTTACGGATCCTACGGTAGGGCCATATGCGCGTGTAAAACGACACAAGCGTGGACTTAAGAATTAAATTAAACGTTTGGAAAAAAAAGTTATAGTATATCGTTGTCCTCACTGTAAAAGTTTCTAAGCGACTTTTCCAATTTTACTTTTAAACCCCCAGTCCAAAATTAAAAAAAAGGCCAGACTTGATACTCTTTCAACAGTCAGGCAGGGACTTCCACATGTTATACATGTAAATTTTGTAAATTTTTGCTCCCGCTACGACATATTTCATTGGTAATTTAGGACTATTTCCAATGATGCCACGACATTAGGATCAATTACCTGACGTTACACAATCAATTTTCCTCTTTCAATTTGAAATACTTTCTTTTCACTAACTACTCTTATATAACTAGATACTTGATTGGCTAATTGGCTTTCAATTTGTTTTCAATTTTGATAAACTGTTCAGCATTGGCAAGTGAACTTCGGTGTAAGCAAAATATTACTCTTAAAAGTTAATTTGTAGTGGAAAAGAAAATAAAAGGTGAAGAAGTTTTCTATTTAATTTGAAAATGTTGTGGAAAACTGATTTGTTCTAGAAAAACAGTGTGCAGATCCGCAATCTACGACCCAAAATTAAGTTTACGTGTCGGCGTCTTTTGTGTTACTTCAATACTTGAGATTTTCCTTACAATATACTTTGATTTAAAACCTCACCAGTCGGAATTTAGGCCAGGTTGTTCACAGACAACCTTATATCCTAAGGCTGGCAATAAGATTTTTTGATAAAATATTTATTAAAGCGGATTCATCGTTTTAGTTCAGAACTTTTCTTCCATGTAGTTTTTGCGTTTCTTTCACAAAGAGAGAAATATAACAATAACCACATGGAATAAAAAGTTCTGAAATAGAACCATGAATCCCCCTTTAAACATATGAGTGAAAATTACTAGTATTACGTACCTGTTCATACCTGCCAACCCGATAGGTAGGCCAAGGAAAAAGTAAACAACTGAACCAAGGCGAATTTATATAAGGTGGTGTTGTTTCATCAGCTGTGAGTAGCGTTTGATTGTCAAAATTTTGTATTTCGTTAGCGAGTGAGTGAAAACGTGAGAGTTTTTGTATTTTCTGTCGCCCTTTTTCATTCGAGGAAGAATAGCTGAAATTTGACAATGGGCCGCTAAAAGCAAAAACAAAATACAAGTAATTGTTGTATTTGTTGAATCGATACCACCTTATATGTATTCGCCTTGAACTGAGCGTTTTCAGCATGATACAAAAAAGAAGGTAGTTTCACTTTGAAATTTTTTGACATAAACTGTGCTTATGTCGTTTATATTTTTCGTAAATTGCTCAAGTAGCACTGCCACCACAACAAATGATTGGTTTGGAAAATTCAATATTTTTTAAGGAATTTTTTATGCATTTAAAAATAATAACACGGAAGGTAAATTTACTTATTTCATTGTATTAGCAGAGCTTTTAATAAGTGTATATTGATTTAAAATGCTTTAATTTCGATATTCTTTATGGAAATATGAACAATGGAGTGGGTAAAAAGTAGCTTACCATCAATGAAAGTACAATGGAAGCATAAACTTATTTGTGACTAGCGGTACCCCGGTGTGCTTCTCTACACCAAATATGGAAAAATGAATGAAAAATCCTGAAATTTTTCTATATGAAAATTTATCATTTGTTTTATTTCAAAATTTTTGATTCTTTATTTTAAATCTTAATCCGACACATTTGGATATACAACATTTTTTGTTTTTCCATCTTGGGTATGAATAAATAAACAATTTAGAATGCCAATTCTTGAAAAGGCCACGTATAGCTACCAATTCCAGTAATCTACCACAAATATTTCAAGAGATATACCAGATGAAAATTTTTGTTCGTATGGGTGGTGCCACACTCCGTTTTCCGAATTCGGGGAAACTTAACACAAACCATCTGTATAATAGCCCGACTATGCCGTAAAAATTTGGTTGAAATCTTACACTTATTTTTTATATATAAGATGGGAGGTGCCCATTTTTCTCCATGAGTATGGAATTATTTGATATACCTCTATACCAATGTCCAGTACTCTACCACAAATATTTCAAGGGATATACAACATAAAAATTTTAGTTAGTATGGGAGGTGCCACACCACCTTTTCCGAATTCAAGCAAACTTCACATAAACCATTTGCATGATAGCCCGAATATACCGCATAAATTTGGTTCAATTCGGTGAAGCCTTTCTCAAGTTATATAATCACACCAAAAACGTTCACTTATTTTTATATTTCAGTTAGTATGGGTGGTGCCACGCCCCCTTTTCCGAATTCGGGAAAACTTCGCATAAACCATCTGCATGATAGATCGAATATGCCACATAAATTTGGTTGAATTCGTTGAAGCCGTTCTCAAGTTATGAGGTCACACCAAAAACGTGCACTTATTTTTATATATAAGATAACGCATGATGTAGTCACGAAGGCGGAGGTAAAAAAATTTAAATAATCTTAGAGCTCCTACACAGATGGGCGAAGGTCGCGCCTTTTTCGGATTAGACTAATAGAGCTTTATTAAAAATTTAAACGAAATTGAATGTAGCCCACATAATGGTTTTAAATTTTTATGATTTTGACAAGCAATAAATGTGAGCAAATTTAAGGACAAAATTTATTGTGTAACTTCCGCGTAAGGCCGAAATCGTAGTAAATCTATGAATTCGAATGCTCGTTACGAATACAAAAAAATTGTACCACTGAATCCGAACTCGAAAATATTGTTGCCAGATTCAAATGTCACATTCCGTGATCGCGAAGTAAACAATCAAGTTTTGAGTTATCTACTTTGTAATGAATTATCATGGTTTTGAGCAGGGTCCGTAACGGTTATAACTTATATTAAAAAAAATATCTTTTAATCATTACACGGTACAACAGTCTAAAAAATTCAAGAAATTTGAAGTGTATCCAGTGTGTTTTGGCCTCCTCATAACGAGGATGTCTTCATTTTTCTTGGTTCACGTCGAATTATTTTTCATCGGGTTTTGAAGTTCTGAGGTTAAGTATACATTATAACATGTAATATTTATGTAATATATAAAAAATGCTTATAAAATCCGTAAATATGTGTCTTATTTTTATGATCTTAGGTTTATTGGAAAGGTATTTGAGAGTATCTTCTTTTTAAAAAATATATATTTATTTTATTAATACTTTTTTTTGAATAGAATTGATTTTTTTTATATCGTCCCTCTTATGCCAGAAGCATGAATGTGCAATTTACCAATCTTGAGTTATTGGGTTGACTTGATTAACCTTTGAAAGTTCTATTTTATGCCAAAATCCAGAATACCATGCGTACACGGAAACCACATATTTTGCGATGTAAATTACATGAATGTACAGTAAAGTCTCATAAAAAAACTTTCAAACTTGATTTCTCAGCATTTTCATTTTTATGCTGACTACACACTAAAGCTAGGATACTATCGATAGTACCGCCACTCGATAGTTTTCGAAGCGATAGTTGAAAACATCGATAGTATCGATAGTACTATCGTCGTAAACCACATTATGTAACAGTGTTCAATTGAAACCCTCAATTCTTTGAAAATGAACAAAAAAATTAATAAATATCTTTGTAAATTACACATATTTTTTTTATTTGAATGAATCAAAATGAACTCTCTATAATAATAGAATAAACTTAGTACCTCTGAATTAGATATGCATACTTATGTACATACATACATTTCCATGCACTTGAATAGGGACAGGCAAAATCTGAATTTTTATAAGGAAAAAATCACTCACTGACTAACGCAGATACTGATCGGTCGATTCTTCTCTCAGCAAACGTGTCAAAAACAAGTTTTCGTATATTCTATAAATACCGGAAATTTCTTACATACATATAAATACTTACCAACAATTACCATACACCAGGCATTCCCAAAGTGGGTGCCGCTAATGGCTAGAGTATACTAGTGGTGCGGGCAAATTCTTTAAACTTACACACACAACGCAAGCGGTTTGATCAAACTTCAACATGGCGGCAAGAAAATCAAAAAATTTTGATTTTTTATTAAAATTACCTTCAGCGGCTCGTCAAACCCCATACACAACACAAATGGCTTGCAACAAAGGGGTATTTCGCTTGGTTTGTCAAGCCGCTTGTGTGATGTATTCCGCTCTTAAGCGTTGTTCCCCATCACGTTTTGTTAACGAAAAATTTAATCAAAAAATTTTCAGAAAAATAGCCGAAAACGTACCCTTTTCACAACCCTTTTCGGTACATTTGTAGACCTAATCCGCGCTTCATCATTTGTTCCCGTTTTTGGATTAATTTCCGGATTTTTTGCTGGTTGGGCAGTTCTCGTAACAAGCGCAGCAGCTTCGCGCTCGTGTATATGTTACTTATTCTTTGGAACTTCACAATCACACTGTGAAAGAGCGAATCAACACGATCTTAGAGACAGTCGATAACGGTTGGTTGGTTTAACCTTTATGTCAACAGCAGAAAAATTATACGTACGTCAACAGCATCATACCTGGGTATGCACTAGCGTTGCCAAATGTCCCGTATTTGCCGGGACGACCCGTATTTTGCATTCAATTTTAAATGTTTCAACGGGACAAGATTTTTCATTATTCTTTTCAACCTGTAAACTTCTACTCAACATGGTCGCGGCTATTGTGAGTAGGTCATTAGCAAGCATTATTGCATGCAACTTTGTAAGAGAAATATAGCTAAAAATTACCGTTGGTTTTTTAGAATTTTTTTTGTTGTGGAGGGTGTCGCGAATTTCCTTCCAAATAACGCATGAACTAAACTGACTTTTATATGGAAGAAAATGCGCAACACCCTCTACAAAAGAATATAAAAAATCAATTGCAATTTTTAGCGACTTGAAACTTGCACTTTATTGTACTGAGATTGAATGGGCTATAAGACCGCATACTCGAAATCGTTTAGGAAATCTAATTAGAAATACCAAAATTTTTGTGAAATTTTTCTTTTAAGTTTAATTAATTTTTGTAAACTTTTTGCATGCTTTGAAACTTTTATTTATGTGGTACCTGATATAGATCGACCCAGACCCAGACTAGCTGGCCAATAGCCACATTCGTTTGGGACATATACCACTTATTACGAGTCTGAAGTTGTAAGTATTCGAAGGACCATCTACGCCAGAAACTCTGATGCATTTGAATCAATAATTTCCATCGTTTTATTGGAGATACCTTTTCATCAAGGATAATTCGCTCCGGGATTGCAAGTAAGGGTCTTCCATCTAAAAAATTACTCGGTGTTAGTGACGAGAAGTCCGGCGGGTCATCAGGCATTGCAGAGAGTGGCCGAGAGTTTAAGCTTGCCTCTACCTGTTTCAAAATTGTATACAATTCTTCATAGGTTAATGTGGTGTCATGGGTTACACGTTTGAGGTGATACTTCATACTCTTCACTCCGGCCTCCAACAAGCCACCAAAGTTAGGCGCGCCAGGAGGTATAAAATGCCAATTGATACCTATTGTAGATGCATTAGTAGCGGCTGTCTGCAACTGTGCTTTGCGCGTGCTTCTTCTTTCATCCATTCATTCCTACAAAAGTTTTACCATGGTCGCTATAAATGTCTGAACAGAGCCCACGCCCGGACACAAATCGAGTCAGAGCTGCAAGGAAGGATTCGGTTGTCATATGGCTAACAAGCTCGATATGAATGGCTCGTGTAGAAAAGCACACGAATAGAGCTACATAGCCCTTGTAACTCCGATGCACGCGGCCTTTTGTTGTTCGTATGTTAAACGGACCTGCATAATCGAAGTTTATCAAGACACAAATAATTTTCAAGAATAAACCAGTCTGTTGGTGCGACTTGAGCAACTGCAGTTTGCTTTGACTTGGATTCGGCAAATGCTGCCGGGAATTTTAACGTTGGTTCCGGCCAATTTTTTGGGAGTGCGACAACCATTCAGGTCCGTGCCACCGCAAACAATGATTTAACAGTTGAATTGGGGCAAATCCTCTTGAGGCGCAATAGACTGGGTTATCTGTTGATCGAACATACTTCCAGTTGCTTACAGCTGTTAGATTGTGAGCTTCACGGACCCGATTTGCAACGAAGTCTTTTAGAATTCCAGGGTGTAATGTATTCTTGGATGGAGTGGGGATGCAATAGTGAATTTGCAGAGGAATGATCGCACCTTCTACCTACTGTCGTTTTAAGCAATCACGGAAGAAAGCTTGTCTCTCAAAACCCATAATTTTGTTGTTGGAAAAGTGTACGCCGGTCGGGACCCATTCATGACATTAGCTAACAGTCGGCGGGTGGATTCTTGGCATTCCTTGAACCAGCGAATTACAAAAAATTTTATTATCAGAGTCCCCTTTAAACCCTTTTATTAAAAAAACTCTAGAAATGATAAAAGACGGGAAGCAAAAAATTTATACACTAAACCGGTACTAATAGAAAGTCATTTAAAAGGCCAGGAGTATCTCAAGATGAAAGCGAGATACTGGGTGCTTTTCATTACCCTCCCTACCTATGCTTCTGGTTGCACTAATATATACCCAAAAGCCCGAACATTCTTTAAACGACCCACATTACCAAGGAATAAAAGAAGCAATTAGCACATTCTGATGTACATATGTATTAACTTACATTATTTATTCCACTAAAATTAAATATTATCCTCTAAATCTTATACCCTAGTTTTATATATTTATACAAAGGTATACTAAGAATATGAGCGAAAAAAATTAAACTTTGGATTTTTTTTTTTTAATTTCAAATAATTATAAACGTTTCCTTTCCAGTTTTAATTAACTCAAGAAATTTTTGCTTATTCTTCTATCGGAAATTCGCCTTTAATTCAACTCGCACCAAAATTTTCTCGCATGTAATTTATATATCATGACATTTTTTTTTTTTTGTTTTTTGTTTCTCTACATCAACCTACTTACAAGTATTCTATTTGTTAACATGCTCTCAAAGAAAAGTAAAATTCATAATAGTATATTTCAGCGTGAGTTTCCAATTATGAAATCAACAAAACTGCTTTTCGAACTCCGCCCCGTTGGCGAAAAACAAAAAAAAACAAATTTATATATGTACATACGTTGTGTTCAACGAGTAAGTTGGTCGGATGTGTTTTTTGGATGCGGACTTTATTTAATTTATTAAAGGGGATTTCGCGGCGATTAAATCGTAAAAATTTGCTAAATCAACGTTAGGCAGCCACAACTGCACATCGATGTGATTTAGTGTCAATTTGGATGGAAGTTGGAGCTGAAAAATTGAAATTTTACTTTGAAGCCTAATCGCGTTGGTGTTAAAAGAAGAAAATTCTAACAAAAAAGCCAAAAGCAACTAGTAAGTCGAGCGACTCACCAAGTGAGCGCGATGGAAGAGTGCAGCAAATGCAAAACAACTATTCGTGATAAATCAGTTAGATGTGTGGGTGTATGCGGTCGTAGCTATCACATATCAACAAAATGCTCGGGTCTTGACGACTACAGTAGCAGCTGTCTCATTACGAACAAAATGATTAAGTTTCTGTGTGATGATTGCTTGCAGTTTATACGTAATGTGGATGAAATGTTTAGAGAAGTCCAAGACCAAATGAAGAAAAATGGTAGTTACCTAAAAGAGTACAAAAATAGCTTTAAAGAGGCGATGAAAACAAATGAGCGCGAAATAAAAAGTTTGATAGAAGCTGTAGAAGCTAAGTACTCTGAGCGTGTTCAATCACTTGTGGCAGCGCAGCAATCTTTTGAGAAAAAAGTTGAAGAGGCCGAAAAAAAAGTATCTGACTTTACAAGAGCAATAAAAGAAAACTCCGATAACGTGTGCCGTGAGCTTGACAGTAATAAAAAAGAAAATAAAAAAGTCTGTGAAGAGGTAAAAGGCATCATGAGTAAGCACAGTGGAGTAGTAAGCGAGACGTACGCGGATAAGCTAAAAAGGGGTGCGGGGTGTGCCCCAGTAATTCTAAAGCCAAAGAAAAGTCAACAAAGTAATATAACCAGAAATGAAGTCAAAGAATGTATTAACCCAGCCAATTTAAAAGTTAAGGTTAATGGGATGTTTAATAGACAGGATGGTGCAGTTGAAATTAAATGTGTAAATAATAGCGATAGAGATATCCTAGCTGATGAAATCAAAAATAAGTTAAGCCAAAAATATGATGTGGAAATCCCAGGCTTGAGATACCCCAAAATATTAATAAGTGGGCTATCGGCGAACTTGGAGTGTGATAAAGTCGAAAAAGCTATACGTAAGCAAAACGATGTCTTATTTGAGCACCTCAAATGTACTAAAGTTTTTAAATCGCAGAAAAATCCTAGAGTGTTTAATGCGTTTATTGAAGTGGATGGTGTAGCCTTCAAAAGCATTATAAAGGAGCAAAGAATCAATATTGAATGGGATCGATGTATGGCTTACGAAAGCGATGGAGTTCTAAGATGTTATAAGTGTTGGGGCTTTAACCACAAAGCTGCAATGTGCAAAGAACAGCATCAGATATGTGCTAAGTGCGGGGAAAATGATCATAGCTATAGAGAATGTCAGAATAACTTTGTGAAATGCAGAAATTGTAGCATAGCGAAAGCAAGACTTAATCTGGCGGACATCGACGAAAAGCATGATGCAAGGGACAGCTGCTGTCGCGTATTACAGAGAAAGGTAAAACTGCAGGCCGAAAGAACATTATACTAGCAATCAAAGGGCAAGATACTATGCCTTTACTTGAACATATGTGGTCTGAGAACGAATTTTTCCCAATTAGAAGTTTTGTTGGAAGACAGTGTATATGACTTCGTATGCTTGTCTGAAACGCATCTTACCTCAGACATAGACGATGAGGAGCTATATCTTCCAAATTATAGTATTCATCGAAATGACAGCGATTCAAAACACACTGGCGGTGTTGTAGTCTACGTGAATAAGTCATGGGAAGTGCTAGCGACTGAAGTTGAATCTAAAGCGAGAGCCTTTTGGTGGCTTTCGATAAAATTACGCCGCAATAGCAAATATCTTGAGCTAGGGACAATGTACAGATCCCCCAATAGGGTAACTTCCCCAGAAAGTGTTTTTTGCGAATTTTTTAAGGATAAGCTAGACTCGCTCTTAGAAACCAGTGATGTCATAATAACTGGAGACTTCAATATAAACTGGTATGAAAACACTGTTTCCAGAAGAATCATAAAGCAAGCAACGGATGACAGTAGCTTTAAGCAGATTCTGAATAACCCTACTCGAATAACTGAGTTTTCCGCAACGCTGATAGACTATGTCGTGACAAATATAAGTAATATAAATGCACATACGGTGTCAGACCTCAAAATAAGTGATCATGAAACGATACTAATCGAAATTAATGAGCGTGAGAAAGCAAAGCCCACCAAATCAACGTTAAAAAGATTAACCTTTGACAACCGTATTTTGTGTGATACGGTGAATGCAAGATGTGCAAATTGCAATGAAGGTGAGCTCGAAGCATATGCCACAACATTTAATGAAGCTTTAAAAGAAGCAATCAATAAAATGACAATAGTGAGAACAGTGAAGTCTAATGTAAGCAGATGTAGATGGTATAATGCTAGACTCAGGACGTTAAGGCAATCGAAGGAAGCAAGCTATAGGCGGGCAACGTGGACTCGAAATACGGAAGACTGGGCGCGTTATAGAGAATGTAGAAATCGGTACGTTAGTGAGCTGAACCGGGCCAAGTGCCAATATATTGAAGCGAAAATAGATCGGTGTTTGGACCAAAAAACCATGTGGAAAGCAATAAAGGACCTTGTGCTGAAAAAGGAGCAAAAAAATATCAAAAAAATCGACTTCGGAGATAAGATTGTAAATAATAAGCATGAACTTGCCAATCGTCTCAACGAATTCTTCGTAGAAAGTATAAACCGAATAAACGTGGCAATACCAGCGGTTCCTTATATTAACCTTAGGAGCAGAGCGGACACACGCTTTAAGTTTAATGAAATAAATCTTGTGGAGCTAAAATCAACGCTGACTAAAATGAATAGCAAAAAAGATTGTAACTCAATGTCGATTACTTACTTGTTATCCACCTTTAATGTTACTGGGCCGATTGTCCTATCTTTAATTAAAAAGTCACTTGAAACCGGTATATACCCACATCGCTGGAAGCAGTCAATAGTAGTCCCAATAGAAAAAGTAAAAAATGCAAAAAAGCCGGAAGAATACAGACCAATCAACACGCTATTAATTGAAAGCAAAATTATTGAAAAAATTGTTCACGCCCAGCTCGAAAACTATTTTGAGAAGCACAACCTCTTTTGTGAGTATCAGTCTGGATTCAGACTAAAGCATAGCTGTGAATCATTGCTTAACCTTGTCATCACGAAATGGAAGACTGAACGAGATAACAAGCGAGTGATAGCAGCAGTTTTTATTGATCTCCAGAGAGCTTTTGAGACGATCGATAGAACGATATTGTTAAAGAAGTTAGAGGACTACGGGATCTCAGGGGTCGAACACCGTTGGTTCCAGAGTTACCTTTCCGGAAGACACCAGAAAACGAGAGTGGAAGGCGTGGAATCTGATTCGACGACAGTTGTACTTGGAGTTCCCCAGGGGGCAGTTCTCGGCACGCTGCTTTTTATTATCTATATCAACGATCTTGAACGAGCTTTGAAGGATGCGAAAATTTGTCTATTTGCTGATGATGCACTACTATACGTGGCGGGAGACACTGCGGATGACTGTATAGCAAAACTAAACAGTGACTTAGTATCTGTAGCACGATACCTTAAAATGAATAAACTGAAACTGAATATTGCGAAGACAAAATCGATGCTTTTCGGCGGTAGATCTGACTTGGACCTCACTATAGACGGAAGCACCATTGAAGAAGTAGACCAAATAAAATACCTGGGCGTTGTCTTAGATACTAAGTTGTAATTTGATGCACATATTGATTATATTTGTAAAAAAATATCTAAAAAAGTTGGTTTAATGTGTAGGATCAGAAATAAGGTATCACTGTGCTGTGCTATAAAAATTTATAATGCGATTATCAAGCCTCACTTTGAATATTGTTCTACCATACTTTTTTTAGGAAGCCAACATAGCATAGATAGAATGCAGAAATTACAGAACAAAGCTATGAGATGTATTCTTAAGTATAATCGTTTAGCATGCGTTAGGGATATGCTTGATACTCTGAAATGGATGTCGGTCAACCAACGTGTGATTTATAATGTAATCTTATTCATTTTCAAAGTTAAAAATCGTATGCTTCCTAGATATCTTACGGCCGAAATTAGCTATGTGGCCGATGTTCAACCGTATTTATTAAGAAGTAACGCCGATATAAAAAGACCGTCGTATATATCAAGCGCAACACAGAATAGTCTATTCTATAGGGCAGCAACTATATTTAATTCGCTACCTTATGATACAAAACAAGATTTAATTTTCAACTCATTTAAAAGAAAGCTATCAAATTGGGTAGAGGAAAATTTTGTATAACCATCCTTAAACACAGATGAACATGTATATTTCTATACCCACCATGCAAAACATGAGAAATAGGCAACAATCGTCAATGGCAACAAATTGGCGACTCACCGATTTATTGCTGTGGTGACAAATCGGCAACATCACTTCATTCATGTCAATTTTGAATAAAAAAGTTCTCAAAAATTCCGAAACTTATGAATATGGCGTCAATAGTATTGGCCAAAAGCATCTAAATTATGCCCAAGGACAAGATTGATAAAATAGGAAGCCTCACAGCGAGAAAATGAATTAATTCCGATTGTAAGTTGCAATTTGGTATACAGAAAAATAAATGAAGTATTAAAAAGAATAAAATTATTCCAAATATCGCCTGAAGCGATAAGAAAAAGACTCATTCAGGCAATAAGAAAACGACTCGCCCAGGCGAGTTGCCTTCGGCGGACGTTTTAGAGCGACCGGTAATAGGAAATCGATTCGATGGCAATATTACCGGCAATAAATTTGTTTCCGAGGGCGACACGTTTTCTTATTGCCGGCAACACAAATTGTTTGGTGGGTAGTACTAAGTACGAATTGTAAAAAATAGCTTAAAGCTAAATAAATATACTACTACTACTACGTGTGTTTGTCAAACTCACTGTGAGGACAGCAATAGGAAGGCTTAAGAAAAGACAAAGCAATTTTATAAACCGCAACAACAACGTAGCCAGCGGTGGACTGTTATACGCTTGAATTAAGTGTAATACTATTGCTTAAACTTGCCTACACAACCATACGTAAATATAACGAAAGGACTTTCGTAAGGCATTTTTTTCAGTATAGTTTACAAAATCTTACGTTTATTTTAGGAAACACATTCGTACATTACTGAACAAATCTCTGTACGAATAATTTTGTATATTGTACGAAGGCATTCCTAATATTTACGTGTGGTTTTAAAATATACGAAATCTACAATTCTGTATTCGTACAATTTACTTAATATTTTCGTACATAGAACAAATGCAGAAGCATGTTTTTTAAATTCGTACAATAACTAAGTTTGATATTTCATCATATTTTTTGCATCACGTGTCATTGCGGAATTAATTTTTGGCTGCTGTGAAACGTATAATATAATTTTAAACGTTTCAAAAAGGGATTTGCTGGATAAAAAAAAATAATACAAAATGAAATATTAAAGCTGTGGATATACTATATGCTTTTAAGCATACAATGTTTTTAACATCGCCTAGTTTAACACTTTGCATCAATATACTTTATTGAATGAAGCCTAAGCAATAAAAAAATATGTAGTATAGAACCTATTCGTATGCATATAAATAAAAGACTTAATTTTTATTATAGGTAAGATAACCTTTTTTATTAATTCTAACTACAATTCTTCTTCTTTCGTAGAACGTATGATTGCGTTTATTATTAACACTATAAAAAACACGACTAAAATTATAGCAGCAATTAGTAAATAGTACGAAATTCTTTAGTAAATAGTACGAATACATTCGTAAAATGTACTAAAAATCTGATGCCTCATATTTTCGTAGTATGTACGAAAACGGTTTTGTACAATCAACGAAAACTTTCGTGGCTCAAAATGACGAAAAATTTCGTAAGATTTACGCAAGTTTTCGTTATATTTACGCAGATTTTATTTTCAGTGTAAGCCGAGCCAAAATGAAACAACACGTAATGCAAAGTAAAAACAGAACAACAACATGATTCGTATTAGCATTATGCATAATTTCTGCGCTCCGGTTGGCAGAAAAATTAAAATAGACACACATACACATATATAAACGAATTTAGCATGTGGGTATTTCCATACGTCGCATACGTGACCGTCGCACAGTGCTTCCCTTCCATATAAAATGTGGGCAAAAATAGAATTATGGACGGATTTAAATTAAAATTCGCTTCTTAGTAAAATTGAGGACGCTGAATTCAAAAATGCAATTGGTTTTTGGATAGCTTTCATACTTTCACTGTAAATGCAGTTTGAAGTTGAAAATTTGGGTTCTTGTGGCTTTTACATAGGTATGTACATATAGTTCGTTCTATTTTCAAAAGTGAGGTGTCAAATGGCAGGGCTTGGCCTGTAGATGAGCAATAAAGTTTTTTATTTTTGAAAAGGGTTGCCAACTGTTACAAATTTTATTAAAATTATTTGATAAGTTATATAAATTAGATATTACAATATGGGTATCAATGAACTAGATTTTAAAATACTTTACCTCTAAATGATACGTAGAAGGGTTGCCACATGTTTAAAAAACCAAATTCACTTTAATTAAGGGAATAAAGTAACTGAAATATGTATATCAATATGAGTATCAGGCAAATAAAAAATTTTACATATTTAGCAAGAAATAAGTGGAGAGTAAAAACATTCCTGATTTAATTTAGGAGTCCAGTAATTTAAAAGGAACGTAATCAGAGCAAATCACTGATTGACAATATATGTATTTGTAATAAAACAGCAAATACGATGGCGTAATCCTATGGTTTGACGTAATTATTATTCGACTAATAAATTCGACTATACAAACATGTGGCAACCCTATTCATAATATGTTTAAGCAAAAACCTTCTTAAACCTCTTTCGTCTGGCTCCCTTATGGTGACTATCTATTTCAATTACCTAATTCCTTAAATTCAAGTGGAATTTGATTTTTTGAACAGGTGGCAACTCTCTACATGTTGTTAATATACATTTCGATTGATATCCATCTCTTAATAAGTCATTTAACTTATAAAAAAATTTTAATCTAATTTTTTAATAATCTAATTTTTTAACAGGTGGCAAATCTTTAAAAAATAAACTTTCTATTGTCCACAGGTTAAGATTTTTAATCTGACACTTCATTTTTGAAAATGGAACGAATTGCGTAGATCTCAAGGCGCTGCCAAAAAATTAAAAAATTATTTTATGCATTAGCGAAAAACTCATTACTTCAGAAAGTGGAAAAAATGAGCAGGTTTTTATTTCTTCTTTTGAAAGCTAAAAGCCCGTGCTATTTATTCAAATAATAGAAACTAACCTATTTTTACATATATTTTTTATTCATTCCATTAAAATTTAGCATTTTTTGAAATTTTGTTAAAAAAAATAGTTTTTTTTTTCACACCGCAGGGACACCCTGTGCTTAATTTTATTCCAAAATTTTAATTCCAGTAATTCTCTACTATATATGGAAACAAGAAACGCCAAACCCACATTTTATTTCAAAGAACATATATTTGACATTTTTTTCTCTGAAGAGCTTATGCCTGGGTATGCTTTATTAAAATTTTTAGTATAAAATCTGTCGACTTTAGTGGCTTCCTGGCGGTATATAATTAATTTTTTGGGGAAATGTCTGTTTAATTCTTTTTAGTGGATAAATTGTCTTTACAAAAATACCAGACAAGGCACATTGCAGATAACGAATTTTTCGATTTATGCCAACTTAGGCGGCACTGTGCGTCGTACGTTTCAATGTGATACAAGCAAGGAATACCATTTGTTTCCTTTAACTTTTTTGGGCCATTGTATAGCAAATAATTAGCTCTATATTTGAAAAATTAAAACAATCGAACTGCTTGGTCCTGAAATATAAGCATTTAAAGTGAGTGTCGTTACGTGACAAAAATGGAAGTCGATTTTTTCTTTTCTTACCGAATCGCAAAACTGCGAATTGTGGATGGCTATTTTCATGAAACTTATTTTAATATGATTTGGAGCAATTCTAGTTGTTTTTAGAGTTTTTTGAATTAATGCAACTTGTTTGAATTTTCTTTTACAACCCCAAGTGTGAAATGTAAATTTCCATCGTTATATTTTTGTTAATATTGCTTTTAAATGAATTTTTAACGCAAATAAAACATGTATTTATGTCGAATATACTTTATATTTTGACTTCAGCGCCAATTCAGGGTGAATTTGTTGGAAATCTTTATTTTGTTTCAACTACATACGCCAAATTCGAACCAAATCGGACCATAAATACGGTTTTTCGAAATATCTTGACCTTGGCCCCACCTAGGAAGACCATTTTACGCAAACATGACTCTACTTACATAGCCAGTATATATTTTAAAAAGCAGACAAATCGGCCCGTAAATACGTTAGATATAAGTCTTTTATTTTTTTTGTCGTGGTTGACCTTCCGATGGAAACACCCATATAAAGGGTGAACACACCAAAACTGCGACACTTAGAAATTACTACCAGAAACAAACTAGAAGGCTTTGAAATTATGTTTTTTGTATTATATAACTTGGAAGCTTAGATGTTATTAAAATGTTAAAATATTAGTTATTATTTTTTCCATATGCAAGTGATCGGTATTTTCATCGCGCACGCGCCATCATGTTCTGCACGACTGCTTTATCGACTTTACGCGATCCGCACAACTACTTTGTTTTGCACTCTTCAATATTTTTCACTGTTTCACCTGTTTTCTTCAAGATTCCTTTGACAATTTACCAATATTCCCCAATAGGACGTAGCTCTGGGCTATTGGGTGGATTGCAGTCGTGAGGTACAAAATTGATGTTATTTTCATTATACCACGGCAATGTCTTTTATCTTTTGATAAATGACAGAAGACGCCTTTTGAGGCACTCATCCCGATAAATTTGATCATTCATTGTCCCGGATGGGAAAAAAGGGCTGCTCTTACGGCCACAGGAACAAATAGCTTGCCAAACCATGTTGTTTTTTGGAAATTTGGACTTCATTTCCAGCTTACAACTTTCAGGGGCATCTTGACGAGTTGCAGTAGTATAAAAATCTTGACCTGCAATATATTTTGAATTTTTAAAGCAGTAGGTTTCGTAGTCCATAACAATGAAGTTGTATTTTTTTAATTAGAATTCATACAACTTCCGACTGCGGGATTTCGCTGTAACATTCTACTTTGCGCCTCGGTCTGGCGCAGTTTGAGCTGTAGAAAATCTCAGTGAAGCTTTCCGCTTTACCTTTTGTACGAAAAACTGCGATCTCCGTACGGATTTTGTAACATAACGCGACAA